CCCCAAAACCCCAAAACCCCAAAACCCCAAAATGCTATTAAATGAAGATTATTGAAATTAAGATGATTTATCTTGGTAAATCATTATAGTAAACTCTTCGATGTTAAGAAATCTTTAGCAGTAAAAGATTTGCATTAAATTTTAAGAGCTACATTATTATGAGGTAAGACATTATTGACAAAGTATCTTCCCTAATATGTACCAATAAGTGATCCAGCCCACATGTCAAATACATCGCATTTGTCATAGGCATATTATGCTAACCCAAGAGTCATAAAATCAATCATTACAGAGGATTTCTCTTTATTGTCCCAATTCATGACTAGTATAGCATCATATGGATAATTACCATGTACTTAAGTATGATAAACTTGACTTTTTTGTTGGCAATTCATAATGCATCTTGCTTGGGCCACTGAATTTTGATTTACATCAATCAAATACTAATTTGATATTATAGCAAGCACCTCTGGACCCATGTTCACAAGATCGTTTCCGAGAATTAGCGGAGCCTTTAGGAAGCACCAAAGAGCGAAATGAGATTTCTCCTCAAATATTGTCAAATTGTTGTTGCCAATCTCGAGCATGTCTGGATCATTCCAAGAGCCAGAGCCAGAATAATCAGCAAGTTAGGCATTGAAATTAAAATTAAACTTTACTGAGGCCCAGAAGTTTTCAATATCAAGGGTAGTTCTCCAGCTGTTACCAGTCTCTGCACCCCATTCCCAGATGTTTTCTGTTCCCCACGAGCATATTGAATAATAAATTGGTCTTCCTGTTGAATTCAATGCATCTCTCATATCAGTGTATCTCTTTTTCCCTTGTACTCCTTAGTTGAAGCAATTATCGTATTTAAGATAATCAGCGCCGATATTTGAATAGTATTAGGCATCTTATTTTTCAAAGCCCAAGCTTCCAGCTTTGCCTTAGCAAGTTTAGGTACCAGCAGATGAATAAATACCGAATTTCAACCCTAATGTGTGAATATAATCTCCAACAGCCATCATACCATTAGGAAATTTTGTTAAATCAGCTTGAACGTTTCCATTGGCATCTCTATCAGCAAGTTACCAACAATCATCGATATTAATATAGACATATCCAATTTTGTCTAGACCAAGGTCTACAATTTTCTTAGCATTTTGCTTTATTATGTCCTCTGAGATGTCACAGTTGTATTTGTTCCAAGTGTTCCATCCCATTGCAGGAGTCTTGCCAAGTCCATTATTGAGGCAAGAAGATTGGTTAATGAACAGCAGCACAGCTACAGACAGAGTTAGTTTTTGATTGAAGCCCATTTTGAATAGAGATCCTAAAATTATTATTATTATTATTTACTTTGAGAATATCTACTAAATTCTAATAATATTTTATCCAGGGGTTTTGGGGTTTTGGGGTTTTGGGGTTTTGGGG